ACTACATGATTTGAATAAAACAAGTGTCATTTATTTTAGTTGCAAAAATAAAGCCATATTTTTGAGTAAGATGAAAGTTTTCCACTGAAAATGGATTTTAATTAAAACATGGCCATAAACTTGAACTAAAGTGAACAACACTTATAAAACATAAAAAACAACCAATTTTACATAGGAAAGCATATAAATTTGCATTATTTAAACGAAATAACACACTTGCCAAGAAAGACTAGAAAACTTACTTGGATGCCCACTTTCAGAATCTTACATGCATACAAAAAATAAATATGATCTAACTTCAACCAATACATACACATACATGAACCTAAGCCCGATTTGAGGCTACTAACATGATGATTATGCAAGAAAAGCAAATAATGCATAAAGAAGAGAAGAGCAGTGATGCCAACTATCTACATGATGATTCAAACCAGGCCTAACACAGGATTTCTACATGACTAAATTGTTGGAAATGGTTATAAAATTCTGGGTAAAACTAGAATTTTTTCCTAAGTTTGGTCTATTTTTTAGGTGGGCCCCGTGCGTCGATTTTCACGGGTCAAAGTGGTAACGCGTTCTATGCCACGTTGTGATTCACGTGATATATTTGGTTGCTCAAAACCATTACCGAGTGAATAGAAAATTGAAGCCATAGTGTGCTCCATGGAAATGGAGTTTTGGTGGAAATTCCTTAAGGTTGTAAAATGGCTGGTCCCACATTGATTTGGTGGGAAGTTTTGAATCGGTTTATAAGGCTTGTGTTTGGTACTTGGGGTGTGCCCCAAGGGGTACCCAAATGTTTTAGAGGGAGAGGTTATGGGCAAAATGGGCTAGACCCATTGGACCCAAAAATCACCACACGCGCGCGCGACCGCCGTCCGTCCGTCCGGTTAGGCGGGCTGGGCTTAGGCGCGGGTGCATGGTGTGAGGTTGGGTTGGGCTTGTTTGGCCCAATATTAATCTTTTTGGGCCAAAAACATTTGAATTTAATTTTATTTTTGGTAAAATAAAATCCAGAATTCAAAATTAAACTGGTTTGGTTTTACTGTGCATCCAAACAGGGCCCTTCCCGGTTTTAAACCGGAATTAAACTGGTCCGGATTTACTGTACACCCAAACAGGGCCCTTCTTATTTTTGTTATCTGTTTGAATTGTAATCCAACAGATTCAAATCTGTTTAAATTCAAAACCAACAGGTTTCATACCTATTCAATTCAAAACCTACAGTCACCATTACATCTATAAATAGGACAGCCCTCATTTGGATTTTGTAACTCTAATTTTCATCCTTCATAATTTTGCAAACATCCTCTTCATTTTGCTGCATTATTTTGTTGTCAAAGAGAGTATAAACACTTAGTGTGTTCGTTAGACAAACAATTTGTAGTGCTGCTATTGTTTGTAGTAGATCATTTTATCTTGGGAGATGGACGTCCAAATTCTGAAAGTACCGTGGAGAGGACGAATCTGTCTTAAGGACACAGTGTCAAACACTGGACTTGATCATATTATAATTCAAACAAATTAAATCAAGTAAGTTATTTAATTTTTTTTGGTGTTATTTTTATTTATTTAAATCAGATTTTAATTTTGTTTTTGTAACAAAATAAAATCTGTTTTTATTTATTTATTTTTATTTCAAGTTTGATTTTTGTAATCAAACAAATTCTCTCATTTCCTTTATTTCTTTATATTTTGGTTGTTGTTTAGTACACAACAGAATTTAATTTTTTTAAATACAGTGAAAATTGTCCTACATAAATGGACCTAAGCATGCTACTCTAATGAGAGTAAAGAGAGCAAGCAAAAGAAATGCGTGAAAACTAATAAAATGAAGAGACTACATGATGAGAGAATGAACTAAAACCCTAACATGCTTTGAATATTAGAACAAGAGACTAAAGGACACTAAAATTAAAGAGAAGAGGGAAGATTACCTACTGTTTTTGAAGAAAACGTAAGAAAATGAGAAAACCTTATTTTCTTGCTTGCAAACCTCCCTCAAGCTTAGGTTTTGATTGGAGTTTGTGTCATTCAAGCCTTAGGATGTTTTCAAAAGTCTAAAGTTGCCTTGGGGGTGTGTTGTTTTCAGAGCTAGGGTAGGGGAGGAAGATAAGAAAGAGTTTTGCTCTTAAAATCCTTAGAAAAGCTTTTATTTTCTTAACCCCCTTCCAAGGAAGGGGAGAGGCTCTATTTATAGAGCTGGGGGAAGCATTTGGAACCCTTCTAGGGTTTCATCACTTCTTTTTCTACCATTCTTACCAAATTTGTACCAAAATTAAGTTACCAAAAATAATTCTACGATGTTTCAATGTGCGCACGTATAGACCATGTGCGCACGCATATTTTGCCTTGGTACACATGCCATGCATGCATGAACAAGTATGTGGCCCTATGCTCTTAGCTTGCTTGTGACAGAAGTAAGCTCGAATTGCATTTTGATCAATATTTTTGATAAAATGAGTCACTAATTTTTGAAAATACGATCAATTAGAACATAATCGGGTTTTCTAGGGTTAAAAAGTTGGTTTTTGGCTAAAAATGGGTCTAGGGATAAAATGGTCATTTTCAGAAAAGTTGATTTTTGGCCCAAAATAGTTTGTACAACAACTCTAAACACCTTTTAACATTTTAAGGATGAAGTAAGTACTATTTCATCATCGAGAGGTTTGCAAGCACCTGAAGTCTTAGGGTCAGTTCAAATGGGGTGTCTATAATTACCCTTGAAAGTGAGCATATGACAACTTTTTATCTAATTAGTTAACGTTGGTTAACAGATAAGGTGTGTTGAAACTTGATTGGCAATATGAGGAGGTTGACTGCCATATTTTAAAAGTAATGGGACAAAGTGAGACTGGTGTAAAGTGCGAGGTGCTATGCGTAACTTGCCCTATATTTTTTTTCATAATTTTAGTAACAGTGTTGCTATTTGCCTTCACTAAGTTTCTCGGACCCCCACTTCCAAATTTATTTTTATTATTTTTTTGGGACCCTACTGTATTCCCAAATCTACCTTCATTCCCTTAAACCTGAACCCTAACTCTAGCCTTACCTTCACCTCCGGTTGTCGCCCTTTCCAACAGCTCCTCTCATATTGCAATCATTCTCAACCCCTACCCTATAGACAACCTCTCTTCCTTATTAATGACCCATTTTCCTAATTTCACATTCCTCGCAAGAGAGCCACCTTCTACATTATAACTTTTCCCAATCTCTTTCCCCATACTACTTGCTTTCATTCTTGTGACGACTATTAGAAGGAGAGAGAGAGAGTGTGTCATGACCCAAACCTGCCCCTATGGGTTTAGCATCATAACCGGCCAGTAATTCGTGATTACCAAAGGCCTGCTTAACAGTAATGACAGTAATACAGAGTAAAGGGGCTGGCAGAAGCCAAAACAGTAAATAAAAGGTATCTAATGAGCTGTGACAGTCTGAATGCAAAAAGACTTTTATGAATAAGTCACATTCGTAACCAAAACACATTTACATATCAGATATACATACACACAAGTTAGAGATTCAATCCCTATGCCGTAACTGTACAGTAGGAGTCAGTAACATCTATTACAAAACAGAAACATAATGGTGAATCCGAACACCCCAAAACAGCCGTAGCTTGAACGGACTTGGAACCTCAAGGTGAGGCACGGTGGTTGGCTTGACAAAACAAGAGCTAATCGGACGCTCCTAGCTCCGGTCTGATGCCTGGACACCTATATATATATATATATAAACAGTGAGTTAAAGCCCAGTGAATAACAGTTATGTAAAGAGGATAAGAATGAATGTTCTTTTAGTAATTAAATAGTCATATCAGTCACTTAGAAACCATAGTAGTCATATGTGGTGCATCCCATAACAAAACAGTACAGTAGGTCTTAACAGACCGAACAATTAGTCGATGGCCATCATAACAGTAACAGTAGTGGTTCCAAACATGGGAACCGACAGAGATCTTTGTGTCAGTAACAGTAACAGTAATTTGCTATGGATGCCACAAATACAGTTTACAAATAGGACAAATATTCATTCATTAAACAATAACGTTTCAGTAAGCAGAACAGTTGATCATTCAGAAAATAATCATAATTGAACATATCTTTACAACATTATTACTCACAGAGCACTGGGCTACAATAGGCTAATGAGCGTTCTCGGATGCCAACCCTACACAATTACAAAATGAACACACACTAAGTTACGCACTAGGGAATCAATAACTTAGCCCCTTATCTAGTCTTGGTGTGGTTCTATAACATTATCCTCATTGAGATGCCGTAAACTAGGCATAAGAATGCCCAGGATGGAATAAGGATGCAAAAATGCACTTTAAAACACTTTTCAAAATTTGCTGAAACAGGTGTAGGAACCCACATTTTATGTCTTCGTTATGTTCATGAGCATCTGTATGATTATGGCTTGTTAAGTTGCATGTGTATGTTTGTGACTTGTTTCGCTTAAGCAAGTGTGATCCATGCCTTGTTTTGAAGCCTTGTGATTTGTCTAAGTGTAGTGTGCTTGTCTTGTTCCTTCCTTGATGTGAAACTTAGGTCACGCCTTGCCTGAGTTATGCTAGCCGATGTTATTCCAAGCCGAGGTCATCCTCAGTCTAGAAGTATCTTGGAACCCCTTGTTGACCTCCGTCCTCGCCTTGACACATTAGCCGAGATGTTACCTTGCACCCAAGTGATCTCGTCCTGGAGTGGTATGACCTAGACCGAGGTGTGGCGCATCTAGGCCAAGATGTGGCACAGCTTAGTCAAGTGTTGTCCTTCCTAGCCGAGGTCATTGTCACCTTAGTTGCCGAAGTCCTTTTGTTAGCCGATGTCACCCCTTGCCGGAATGCCATTCCGTGTAGCTTGTTAGATACGCCTTGTTGTTAGCCGATGTCATTGCCCCGTCAGAGAGCCCATACCGCTTTACTTGTTGAACACCCTTCCACCATGCTTTGTCTGGTCTGTCAGCCACCTTTTCAGGAAAAAAATAATGGAGTTGGAAATCAAACGGAGGAGAGATGAAGATATTTTTTTTTTTTATTTTTAATATAATATAATAAAAAGAGATATATATATATATATATATATAATAAAGAAAGGGGGGAACAAGAGTGTAATGAAAAGAAAAAGTGTAGGTGGGAACATCGTGGGTCACATGGGTGAGTAAAAGAAAAAAAAAAATAAAGAAATGAAAAGAGGGAGACAAAAGTTGGGTCACATGGGTGAGAGAAAAGGGTAATGCAGTCTGCCCTTTCTTGTTGCTGGAGCCGACATGATTATTCCGACCATTGCATACAGAAGTAAGAGAATAAATCACATGGAGACTGGATTCTTGGCTTAAAGATCATCCTTAAACTGTGCAGAAACACCTAAAAGCTTTGCTAGTTCTCCACTCTCATACGCTTCAACAGTATCATCTGAGCCTCCAATGTGTTTTCCATTAATGAACACCTGTGGTACAGTACGCCTGAGAGTAACAAAACTCAGGGCATCCTGAATGTTCCACCCATCTTCTCTCTGATCAAGCTCAATAACATGTGGTGTTTGGTTCAACTCTTTGAAGACAGCTTTTGCCCTTTTACAATACGGGCAGTAGGACTTGGAGAAGATGACGATGGAGTGGGAAGAGATGGTCTTCTTGATAAAAGCACCTTCAGATTTAGATTCAGACGATGTTGTTGGTGTGCAGAGAAAGGGCACGATCAGCATCAAGGCAATGGAGATGATCATGAATTTGGATGAGTACAAAACTCCAGCAGCAAGAAATGTGGCAGCGGAGTGAAGGTATGTGTAGAGGTCCGGCGGACTAGGTTGAGGTCCGGCGGACGGCTAAGGTGAGGTTGCCGCCCGCCGGGGAAGCAAAAATAGTAGGTTCTAAACCTGCTCTGATACCAAGTTAG